TACAATTTGGACCGACTTAGCCATAGTTAGAAAAATGGAATCTCCTTCCTTTCTAGAGTTGACTTGGGGTACACCCATAATGTTGTTGACAGTTTGGTCTTCATCCCAGTCATCCCAGTGGAAGAAAGTGTTCTGTCACATGGTTCTGCCAAGCTGGGCATCACCACCTGGTTGCTTTCTGAGGTCTTTACCTCTCACTGCCTGTCTCCTCTGTTTTGACGTAAGAAAGCAGGACCAACCCCCTGGATGCACGTCTGCACTTATTTAAACTAGCTGGGTAACATTTTAAACAGTAACAGTCATTTCTGAACAGTTGATTCACTTTTTAGGGTAATCTGTAGAGTCCTGGTGTGGCACTGGACTGAAAGGTCGGGTTGAAACTTAAAGTCGGTAGTTCAAACTCACCATTTGCTCCTTGGAAACTTTATACAGGGTTGCTTTAAATTGGAAACTTATTCACTGGCACGTAACAGCAACAACAACAATGGTTTGGGGTGTTCGTGTAATTTTTGATTTGGAAAAAAATGCTAAAACTAGCAAATCTTTGCAGCTCTGTTTAGATACTTGTTATGCATAGGGCCGCTGTGAGTTGGAACTGACTTGACGGTACCTAACAAAATTACAACAACATGCTTAGGTACAGACTTAGATTAGGCTCTTTCTGGGCCTGTTATTAACCCTTTTGGACACGAAGCCCTCAGTGCTGTGCTGCGCGCTTCGCCCGATCTCAGAGCTTCTATTCCACGTGCTGTGATGGTGGATGTCCTGTTGGTGGTCAGAGTTAGTGATCCCTGGGTACTTGACCGTAGCCAGAGTAGCGGAGCAGTAAAACTGGACAAGAAGACAGTTCTCCTTCTATCATACTTACTGCTTCTGCTCAAATCCTGCAGCTATGATTGAAGGGCACAGACAGATGACACATTAAAATATGATGGAAAACAAGTTGTTGTTAAGTGCCGTCAAGTCAATTCCAACCCATAGTGACCCTGTATAGGGTTTTCAAGGAGCAACTGGTGAGCTTGAACCACCGACCTTGCAGTACAAACCTACTTTGCAGTCCAGCACACTAACCCACAGTGCCACACTAGGACTCCACAGGAGGGGAGGAAATTTCATTGCTGTGGACATTTGGGGAAATAGAGATTTCTGCCATGTCCAAAAATCACAACTTAATACCCCAAATCTCATCTCCTTTAAAAAGGGGCAAGGTGCAGGGTGGGTACCATGAGTTGGCATAGCTGGAGAACCTGTGATTTCTAAGATTCTGGCAAACATTGAAACATACCGGTGTATCATTAATGTACTTTTGGCATTAGTGTCTGTGTTCCCTCACATGTCTGCCTATGTTAGTGCATGTAGGAGAGGGGGAGAGAGTGGGGGCCTTCGAAGGCAGGATGCTTAAATGCTTTGTTGCATTATGTTAATTCCTCGGCAGTGCAATCAAATTCATGTCGTAATTAAAGCTGTCAGTTGGAAGGCAAGCCAATCGCCACGAAAACACAGCATAACAAATGAAGTGAAATGATTCTGCGTGTAGCTATACAATGCTTCGCCAGGCATGAAATTAAATAAGTAATTTGATGTTGACATCAGCAATTGAAATGATACCCACTGTTCCCTCATTCAGTCAGACCTGCATAAACAATAACCAGAACAAATATGCACAACAAAGCCCTCTTCTCCACCCAGCTCCAGGAGTAATGTACAATATATATGCAAAATGAGTGTCACAGAGCGTCCTGAGGCCCGAAGCATGTCATTTTCTTTGGTAGACAATACGACGATATGTTCATGGGGGTGGGAAGGTGGGCTTGGTGTTGTGCATCTCCTTATGGGATAAAACACATTTGCAGGAAAGGGAGGAAAAAACAATACCCAAATGAAATAAACACATGCTCTGGTCTCTCAGAATAATTGATCCTACAAGGAGCGTACCTCCCCAGGGCTTGCCTCCAGCCTGCTGGAGACCTAGCTTGGCGCTTGCTATCCTCTGCTCCTCTGAGGACTGTGGGTGCTGAGAACAGGTGATTCTGTCATGTGACTAATGGCTGCCAGGGGGAGTCGTCTCCATGGCTACTGTGAATTTCCTTATGGGAACAAGAACACAGCACATTTGAGACAAAAAACCAAGTCCAGTGTCCAAGATCCACATTGACAATGCAGTGCAGGTTTCCTGAGCTTGTCTGAGGCACCAAGGGGAAGAAAGCTTTGCTCTGGGAGCTACATTTCGTAATACCCAAGGGCATGCTCTCCTTGGGTGTTTGTTGTTGTTAGGTGCCATCGAGTTGGTACGGAATCATAGCGACCCTATACACAACAGAACGAAACACTGCTCGATCCTGGGCCAACCTCACAATTGTTTAGGATGTAGTAAATAGCTCCAGATTTCCTTTTGCAAGAAGAATCATATCTGCTGTATTTTGTTGTTGTTGTAAAGTGCCATTGAGCTGGTGCCGATTCATAGCAATCCCATATAGGGTTTCTTAGGAGCAGATGCTGAATTTGAACTGCCAACCTTGAGATTCAAGCTGACCTTGTGGTTCAGTGCTTATCCAAGACTAAATTCATCCACGCCTTTCTTCCTCACCCACCTGCCCCCCTCAGTCCCCCCCATTACAATCCATCCATTCATTCATTCCTTTATTTATACCCTAATTCAACAAATGCTACTAAATGCATCCTGTGCACTCAGCACTTTGCTGAGCTCTGGGAAAGCAATGATGAGTAAGCCTGTGGTTCATAGAGTTGGGGGAGAACATGGTGGTGGATGAGCTAGAAGTATATGGTACAACTGGGCCGTCAAGGTGGAATTTAGGCTGCTTCTTGTTGTTAGCGGTTGTTGAGTTGGACCCCGAACTCCCAAAGCATGGTGCCTTCATGCACGCCAGGACAAAACACTACCTATTTGTGAAACTTAAGGTCAGCAGTTCAAAACTACCAGTTGTTCCACGGGAGAAAGATGCGCTTTCTGCTTCTGTAAAGATTTACAGCTTCGGAAACCTTGTATGGAGTTGCTATCAGTTGGAACTGACTCCACGGCACATAACCATCACCACCACCACCACCTTAATTATTTGTCAGTCAGACCATCGTGGTCCGTACGATTTTCATTGGCTTGTTTTCAATAGTAGATTGCCACATCTTTCTGTTTAGTACATCTTATTCTAGAAGGTCTCCAGAAACATGCCCGGCATCATAATACCAAGCAAGCCTCCACTGACAGATGGGTGGTGGGTGATGGGTGGTGCGTGAGCGTGAGGTGCATCGGCTGAGAATCGAGCCTGGGTCTCCTGCTTCTTGTTGTTAAGCGCCATCAAGTTGGTTCTGACTCATAGTGACCTTGTAAAGGGTTTCCAAGGAGCAGCTGGTGAGCTTGACCCACCAACCTTGCAGTTCAAACCCATTTTACAGTCCAGAGCATTAACCCACAGTGCCACACCAGGACTCCTGCTTAGACTGCAAGAATTCTACCATTGAACCAACCACCAAGTAGCTCATGAAAAGTCACTTAGGTCTGATCCCAAATCCTCAAAATCATCAGGAAAAAGGTCTGCGGACTGAAGACAACTCAGCATTATCTTTCTTTTCATTCTAAGCTTACTAACCAAAATCAAATCCAGTGCCATAGTGTCAGTTCCAACCCATAGCGACCTTGTATAGGGTTTCCAAGACTAAAGTTTTACTAGTAGCAAACAGCCTCATCTTTCTCCTGGGAGCAGCTGGTGGAATTGAACTGCTTACCTTGCAGGCCTCTTTTATTTACAGACCACCACTTGTCTGTCAGTTGGTGAAGGTGTTGCTAGGCAACTGGAAGCTATGCTACCAGTATTTCAAATACCAGCAGGGTCATCCATGCTGGACAGGTTTCAGTGGCGTTTCCAGATTAAGACAGACTAGAAAGAAGGAAGAAGCAGACCACTTCTGAAAAATTCGCCCCTGTAAACCTACAGAATAGCAGCAGAATATTGTCAGCTATCGTGCCTGAAGATGAGCTCCTCGGGTTGGAATTCATTCAAAATATGACTGGGAACAAACCTCCTTAAAGTAGCGTCCACCTTGATATGGATGGAAGAAGCAGTTAGCTGGACCTTCGTTTGCTGATAGCATGAAACAACTGAAAATTAGAAGAAAGAGGATGCTAAAAAAAAGTAAAGAATCTGTAAGGAGAGGGTTTAGAGGAAAGAACAAACAACCATACAAATGTGTAAGTCTAAAGCACAAACTGTGCCTCCCCCCTTTAAGGGGGAGGGGACTTGTTTTGTCAAATTGAGAAGTTGATTCCTTGAAATCCTTTCTAGTGATTGTTGCTTCAACCTGTGTGTCAGAAGCATGTCAGCCCCCATGGGGCTTTCTTGTGACAAAAACATCCACAAAACTGATGCTTTCTATGCTTCCTTTGCATCACACATTCTCTGCGTTGTGGACTACTAATTGTGTTTACAAAATGTCTCATTTTTTTTTTCTTTTTTAAAGCACTGTGTATGTACTAACTGGTGCCCAGAGGGAATCAACTGGCAAGTAGGTCAGACACTGGAAAAGTCATCCAAACCCACTGGGCATTTGATTTTCAAGTCAGTCTGGACCTCTTCCTCTCGCCTGCCCCTTTGCGGCCACATAACTGAGTAGCTGGAGACCAGGGCATTGAATGTCAGCAAGGCAGGGAGGCAGGCTGATGCGTGTCTGTTTAGTCTCAGTGCAGGGCGAAATGCCATCATTAATTCATTACCCAGCTGCCTGTCAAATAAATTGGCAATTACATCCACCGCAGAAGCTTAGAATTCAGTAAATAGCACGTTAGCATCTCTGAGTTGTTGAGAGATGTAAAGGGGAAAATTAAGCAACACAGTGTTTGTATCAGCAGCAGATGACAAGGGGCCGAACACACTGGTGATGTGGTGTAGTGATGAAAAGTCTGCGAAGGGCTGATAATGAGCTGTGTGGATTGGAACGTGTTAAAAACCATTGCTGATTTTCCACTTTGTCTTTATGCTTTATTGCAGAGTCCAGCTCCTTCCAGCTTGGGAACCGGCTACTTCGTAAGTCTATATCAACTTCCATGTGTGTGCCATGCACTGACTATTGATTTACCTCGATAAGGAATGCTCATTAGGCTGGGAAAACATTTAAGGAATCCTCTCTTGGTCCCAAAGAGCAGACTGATACCCAGACTTTAATAAGAATTATTTTTATTTTTAAAAGACTCCATCGCCTGAGCCCTTAGGACCGGAAGTTAGTGTGACAGGTGTGCCTCGATCCCAGGGGGTAGGACTCATGCTCCTTACCAAGCAATGGAACATGGGGTAGCACACCTTGGTGGGTACAGGGAAACCTGATTGGTTTGTACCACCTTTCTTTCATTGCCATTTGTAAGCAAGAAACCATATCCAAGACTGTTGGAAGAACTTACCAAGCGTACAGTTCATCGTCACTTTTGATTTTGATTTTGATTTTGATTTTGATGAGAGGTGGTGTGTTACTGGGATGGGTTTCCCTCATAATCTGGGTAGGGCCTGTAGGTTTTCTCTTGGTGATCATTGGGCTTCTTATTCTAAGAAATACCAGGAGTATTATTTTATTTCTGAACTTTATTCTCTGTCCTTTGGACAAGGTAGGGTGGGTGAAATACCGCAAGGATGATCACATTGTCAAAGTCACAGAAAAAGTGCTATTTAATTTCTTTGATTTGTGGTAAAATGATCCTTTTGGGTTTCAAGAATCTTTTTTAAGATTATATATATATATATATTACATACACATTGTCAGCTCCTTGGCAACCCTGTACAGGGTTTCCGAGGGTGTAAATCCTTACGGGAGTAGAAAGCCTCATCTTTCTCCCGCGGAGCGGCTGGTAGTTTCGAACTGCTGACCTTAAGGTTCGCAGCCCGATTCGTAACCACTACGCTACCAGAGCTCCTTACACATAGGCATATATATATACAACTTAACAAATAAGCATTATTTATGCAGTGTTTATGAACATATCCATGTAGAAGTGTTTGTGGTATTTACCAGAATATCATTTCTGTTCTGAATGATGAGCAGTCATCATCTCATGCCTACCTAACATTTGCTTAGAAAATAAAACACAGTGGAAAATCATTACTGATACAGTTTAGTTATTTTTCACATTCTTCCCTCTGAAGTATGAATTACTCTGGTTGTCTTCTGCCTGCTCATTTTTTGCCTCCATGCACTTACATCAGATGTATTGAAACCAGTGTAACGTCATTGAATAACAAGTCTTCCCAAGCTTCACAGAGTGAGATTTTCCAGATGTTGATTTTTTTTTTTTAATCTTAATTTATGATACAAGGAGGGAAAGGATAAATAAAGCTGATTTGGTATCTGCCTAATACAGTTAGCACACTGTATTCCCTTATCCGTTCTCCTGCTTACTATGGCTGAATATTCATGCATCCAGAAACACAAGGGCTGCAGGCAGAATAACAGAAGCAGTTCCATCTGCCATACCTTCACACCAGGCTGGATGTGGGTTGATATGCTAGAAGTAAGTCTGGAGACTGCCAAGGTCTGTTCTCCAGCCAAAAACTAAATGCCCCCTCTCGCCACCCCCAGCTTTTTTCAGCAGAAATAAGGCCACAGCTCTGTGTTACTTAGCCTTGGATCTTTTCTAAACCAAACATTCTTGGTTTTTTTTTTTGGTGGTGGTTGTTTTGTTTTTAATTGTCAGTGTGGCCATCCTGAAAGAATAAAGTCATCTCTGGGAATATCGAGGATTTCATTGTCCTTTATGTCACTTAACATTTCTCTCTGGTACCATGGTACCAGGAATATGTATTTTTTATGCTCTAATAATACATGCTCATGATAAAAAGAGTCTTTATGCATCCAAAATGAGTTTTTTTCCCCCACTTACATAATGCTAGATGCCTATAAAACTTGTGCCTTGTTTTTGTAAAATTGAGCTTAAAATGACTTTGCTTATGTGAAAAACCTGTACTTTTTATTAGCTTACATGGAGAAGATACAGACCAGATGTATGCTCAGCTCTCAGCTATGACAAAAATGCCTTACTTTAAATGTGTTTCCAATAAGGTGATTAGTATGTTATCAAAGTACAAAATCCATTGTCTTATGTCCCAGTCATCTTCTAAAAACATCTTCTTTTCCTCCAAAAGATCATATATAATACTTAAACTGCAGACTTCCAGCCCAAGGGAGTTTCACACCCTTAAATGGAAATGATACATTCACAGCGTGTTTTCTTAACATTTCTTGCTCTCACGTGTTCTTCGCACTCTGCTTGGGATCTGTAATGTGGTTAATAACTCTTTACCTGTGTCGGGAAAGAAGGCCCAGTGTCAGGTAAGTGGAAGGGTGAGATTTCGACTCCATCTCTAATCCTTTTCATCGCTTTGAAATTCGGACAGAGATATATCTTACCTGCCAAGTCAGTGCACTGCTGATGCAGGTGACCCAAAAGTGAACCTGGGTGAGACAGCAGAAAGCACGCACCTAGTGGGTTTGAACGCCTGGAACTGTTTTCTTTAATAATTCCCGAACTCTGACGTCATTCTGCGACCCGGAATCCTGTTTTGCATAGATTTTATGCCCTTACAGAGATTTTGTTGAACTAAAATGCTGTTCCTTTTGTACACTAATAAATACACACTCGATTGAGTGTGTGTGGGCTGCACACTTACAAACGTATATCTCTTACCCAGGACCAGAATACTTTGCTTTCTTTCAGGTCCTTGTAATTCTTTAGCAGTGGTAAGTTAAAGGGTTTGAAGGAGAAGGCTTTGCTTTTGATCTGGTTGTATTTGTTTATAGCTCTTTGGGTTTGTATTCCAAAGATGTCTGCTGAGGTCTGTCACGTTTCCAATCTATTTCACAGCATTAGAGTTAAGACATGAAAATAGCAGCAGCAAAAAAAAAAAAAAAAAAGGGAAAAAAACCAGTGTTTACATAAGCATATTGCAAAGAATTCTTAAAGTAGACAAAATAGAGAGGGATTGATTGGAACAAACTTTTCACATTTGTGAACACTTTAAACTAATGTGGGTGTTATACACACAGAGAGACACACACACATATATATTCATTACATACTCATGCCCAGTTCACATTGTAAATATAAATGGAAGTTACAGATTCTTTAGAATTGACTTACTATTTTCTTTAGTGAGACCAATAAAAGCTGTTGGAGTTCGTATGCAGAATTTTCTTTTCTTTTAACACGAATGCAGGGAACATGTTTTCTTTTCAATTTAAATGTTTTGGGCTGTATTATCTGCTGATGACTGTATTTGGAGTTCTGCTATGCATATTGTATCATTAAGAATCTAGAAGTAGATTGAGCTAAAGTCAAAACCTGTTTCTGTCAGGCTGGTTGTGTGATCTTAAATAGGTTATTTATTATTGTTGTGAAGTGCCATCGAGTCGGTTTCGACCCATAGTGACCTTGTATAGGGTTTCCAAGGAGCAGCTGGTAAGCTTGAACTGCCAACCTTGCAGCCCAAATGATTTTGCGGTCTAGCGCATTAACCCACAGCGCCACACCAGGACTCCCAAATAGGTTATTTAGCGGCTCCAAATTTCTTTCCTCATCCATGAAGCTGTCAGTTTACATTGAGATGAAATATTGAACACACATACATAGTACTCAGGAATTGCAAATCACACACGTTGTTATCATTACTCACACTCTAATCTCTTAATATTTGATGGTGAATGGAATATACTTGATCTCATTAAATGGCTCTTTAGTGTTATGATGATACAGGATTACCACCAGAAATAAATGTTACCAAAGTAGGTTGTATAATTGGCACGTATAGGATCGAATTGTTTTATTTTCGCGTTGCAATCATTTCATAGTGCTCTCAGGAACCTGTGGTTTTATGATTTGTCAGTCCTAAGTATAAAACAAATATGGTGTCTATCCTCTCTGACCTTCCATAATCATGTTGATGTTGGAATGAACCAGTCTGTGAGCTGTCCCCATATTATAATGGATCCCTTTCATTTGTCTATGTAAGTTGTTTTTTTTTTTTTTTGCTTTTTATCTCCATGAGATTAAGAAGCACTTACAGCCTGTAAGGATTGCCAGGTTGAGCTGGGAGGCTGGGGAAGACCTGTCCAATACATCAGATTGTCTGAGCTTGTGGCACTTAGTTGCTGCTTGCTGACATCAGGAGGAAAAGTCACTGCCCAGGCATTGGAGTGACAAAACCAGGGAAAAGCTCTCATAAAGGTCAGTGCTCTGTAGTGTCACCACAGGTCAAGTCTGGACACAATTCCATGTGCCAGGAGTTTGGGCTTGCTGTTGGGGTGGCTTCCATTGCAGGCTGAACTTGAGCCCTGGTAGAAAGGTACAGAAGCGTTGCCGTACGCGGGCCACCTTCCTGCCTGCTTTTCTGGAATCTTCCGCCTTTTGCTAGATTTGGAACTAAGTGGGTTATGCTCATAGAGCTTGGATCTTGGCTTTTGTAAACTCCAGTGATTTTTAATTGTTTTCTTCCCCCTCAAGTGTCCTCAACTAGTAATTTCCAGTTTTCACAATTGGATCACATGTAGTTATAGACCTGTTTAGAAGTTATCAAGGCAACTTCCCACTTCTATGTAGAGATCAAAATGAGTACATGATACAATAAAGAGGAATTGTGTCGTACAATAAGTTCTTCAAATGTGATTTATATAATTACTGGTTTCCTGTGCAGTTGAATTATTTAAGATGTTGTGAGGATCATGGTGGTAACAGGCAGCATGTAGAAAATGTTGACGTCCGGCCTTCCATTTAGATTTATAAAGGTCCAGTATGGGAAAATTTATTTGCCTTTTTCTAAATTTTGAACTACAGATTCTTGAACTATCTCCTTTCTTTTTTTCTCTGTAATTGGTGTAATTCCCCAAACTGAACTGTTTGTGGTCTTTTGTTTAACTGTGGTGGTGTTGCTTCTTTTCTTAATCTCTGAGAGAGTTTTACTGTTAGTTGAGAGGAATGAGTCTCTTTCAAAAGACTGGGATTCTTTGGGTTTATTTTTAAGCACAATAGGTTATCCGTAACACTGAG